TTATATAGACCACAATGACTATTCCTTTACTGTTTTAATTTACAAGCAAATCGCATGAATGCTTCGCCGGAATATTGACCTTAAGAAGTATTGTAAGCTCGCAAGGGTGGGCCCGGCGAACCAGTCATGCGTTCTGTATTAAAAGGTGGGAGAGTTGTTATACGAGACTTCAATATAATCTTTCAAGGTGGGTGGCTGCATTCACGATATAATATCTATGGGCTGCGGTAATCTTATACCATCAGGTAGACCGTGGGCTCTTTCACCCAACTACAGAATAGAAAACGAGTTGTTTTTGTTTTCAAACATGGCGACTCCCGTCTTCTGAGTAAATGAAATATTGAATCTTAAAATTTGCATCATGGTAAATTTATATATGACTTGCTGACCCGGCAGACTTCGTAGTGCCTCAATCGATAAATAAAAAACCTAAGCTTTTGTATATAATAAACTTAAAACAAACAAAAGGAATCCGTCCGACGGGGCACACATCGAAGGAAAACAAAATTGTTATTTTTATTTAATTCCGAGCATTTTCATAAATATCTACCTTTTAAACCTTGTCTGGACTTCCACAAATAATTTAATACCAAAATTAGCCAAATCGGACCAGCCGTTCTCGAGTTTTAGCGAGACTAACGAACAGCAATTCATGTTTATATATATATATTTTAGTTTGGAATCACAGAGTACATGGTCATTGTGTTCGAAGGAACGACTTCTTAGGAAGAGCAACCGCCTTGTAATCAATTGAAGCCTTTCAAAGCTGAATGACGAAAACGCAGGGTTATGTTACTTGTTTATTTTTTTATTATTGTGTTTCGATTTGGTACTGGTGTTTCTTTGGGAAGCAATAACGCGTTCCTAATTTAAGTCTGGAAACGCAGATATTCCACTGCTGTTTAGGCTTAGATAATGGATGTAAATAATCATATGTTCTTTATGCATGCCTCCAGGATTAGCGGTATTCACATTGTTGTTGTATGTGAATATTGAGTATTTAGTAGACGTAAAACTTTTGCATTTATGTAAAATGATGATAAGTACATACATAATTGAAACTATTCTTTTTTTTTTATTGCTTAGATGTGTAGACGAGCTCACAGCCCACCTGGTGTTAAGTGGTTACTGGAGCCCATAGACATCTACAACGTAAATGCGCCACACACCTTGAGATACAGTTCTAAGTTCTCAGTATAGTCACAACGGCTGCCCCACCCTTCAAACCGAAACGCATTACTGCTTCACGGAAGAAATAGGCGGGGCGGTGGTACCTACCCGTGCGGACTCACACAAGAGGTCCTACCACCAGTAATTACGCAAATTATAATTTTGCGGGTTTGATTTTTATTGCACGATGTTATTCCTTCACCGTGGAAGTCAATCGTGAACATTTGTTGAATACGTATTTCATTAGAAAAATTGGTACCCGCCAGCGGGATTCGAACACCGGTGCAACGCTAGATACGAATGCACCGGACGTCTTATCCTTTAGGCCACGACGACTTCAAAATTCTTTACGGTTCTATTATTAATACAGAAGTGTAAAGTATTCGAAGCTTCGGAAATAATTTAATGAGAATAAAAAATCACGAGATTTATCCGTGAAAATAATTTTCATTATTTCTACGACTCGTGAAAACCAAGGAAAATATTATTATTATAAGTAGGCTGTCTATGGAAACACTACCCTGACTTTAGGCGGTCAAAACCGACATCGGCATTGAGATAGTGGGCCGAAGTAATATTTGACGGCTTTTCCTGTTCTTCAAGATGCATGCCCTCATCAGAAATTTGCATGATCTGGTACCCTAAAGATTTTCATTACGACTTACCCGTAATTACATTTTTCACGTTCGTTTTTTATTACATTAAGTTTGATTCTTTCATCGCGAAAGTTCACCAATACATTAAGTAAGTTAAGTACTTACTTCTTTTAAAAAAAATGTCCTACTGAATTTGGACACTATCACAACCGCATCACTTAATAAGAATACACCGGGAATTGTATTTTTTGGGACAAGCGAAAAATCTAAACGGAATGTTTTTTTAAAATTCATATTCACAATCCAATTATTATACTGGTAAAAGGTACTGAATGAAAAAGGGTCTCTTCATGCCCGTCGGTTTCAGTCAGGGTTCCATTTACCAAACTTGGCACAACGACGCTTACATCCTTTGCCAAACCATAACTCAAACTTATTTTGATTTTCAACTAAAAAAATATATATGATACTGACGCTAGAATGCATGTTACAGAACAAGTATATGTTGCCATCATCTACCGAGAAAGCGGTCAACCCACTCTCTCATACCAGTTTTCTAGTACCTCGAAATTTGCTCGACCCGCTCGACCAAATTTAAGGAAATCAGTTCTCTTAGTTACAAAAAAAAATGTTTGACTTGGCACCGATTGATATTTTTCTTCAGTCGCGGTCAGGAATTGTCAAACTCAAGGTACTTCGAAACGTACTTCATGGTGTAAGAGGAAACGTTACGTTATCATTTTCTTGTTCAACATAGCTCTTTTAAAATAGGTGGTTCTCTTTTCGTATGTAGCAGTAGAAATATTTTCTCAAGGGCTTATATGAAAAATTCGAAATTTTTTTTATAGGAAGAATTACTGGTTGCCCGCAGGCTTTTCCAGTTTTACCAGGACAAGTGGGCTAGCAAAGGCTTAGCCATAAAGTCGAGTACAACCGACTAACGAAATAATATTATGAACATATTTGAAAGATTCTTGAGGAGATCTTAAATGTATCCTCCCTCCACTGAGTCGAGGTCGATGTATTTTCAAATCTGTATTCTTATAATACCAGAATTGTAGTTAAAGCATAATACCACATAGTAGACGTCTCTAGTAATACTATTATTACCTAAAATACTCATTTTTACGATCCGAATTTTACTTAGAATTGTACCCTTTTAGTGAATACGAATGTCCACTCTTTTAGGCCTCGCTCAATGTTATGTAATATTGAGACACTTTACCAAAAAAAAAAACTCGAAGCGGAGATCGATATTTGTAGGTCAAACAAGAACAAGGTCAAGCAAGGTTGTCTGCTGTATTGTTGTTGAATTTGTAACATTGTGTAATAAAGTACACTAATTTTTAACACACTGTTTCTAGCTTTGTATTTATGCATATAAGTACACGTATATTTGAAACTCAATTATTGAATGTAATTTTTAGCCATTACAAGACATCCTGATTGATTTGAAAAAATTCAAACGCATCAAGGACCGAGGTCAATACTATAATATACTACTACAATACTATCATCATCATTCTCTTGCCCTTCTCCCAGTTACCTGGGGTCGGCGCAACATGTTTTCTCCTTCCATACTCTTCAATCATATACCATTTCTTCGCTCACTCCCCTTTTACCCATATCGTCTTTCACGCAATCCATCCATTTCTTCTTATGTCTACCTCTTCCTCTGTATCCTTCTACATTCATGGTTAACACTCTCTTACCAACCTCATTTTCATTTCGTCTCATCACACGTCCATACCATCTCAAAGCGCACTTCTCAGCTTCTCTGTCACAGGTGCCACTTTCAGACTTTCTACAACGTATTGATTCCGTATTCTATTAATTTTCGTTACTCTACACATCCATCGCAACATTCGCATCTCTGCTGCATGCAACTACTACTACTACAATACTTAATAACCTTTAATACGATTAGTATCAATAGGATATAAAAAGGTACCATTAATTTGTTTGTGCAATTTGCTATTTAAGCAAATTACTGACGGTAGGCAGCGGCTTGGCTCTGCCTCTGGTATTGCTGACTTACATGACCGACAGTAACCACTCAACATCAGGTGGGCCGCATACTCGTCTGCCTACACGGTCAATAACTAAAAAATATAAGCGCGTTTTTCAAATTTTAAACTACGCTCTTTATTTCTGGACTATTATGGAAGATGACAACCACACATCTCGGTAATTTACTAACTGTTTTATGAAGTTTGATATCTAATTAAACATCTGAGGTATATGTGTTTTTTTTTAAATACACAAGCGTGATAACTTCCACAGTGATTTTGAGTGTGTCTCTTTGTGTTGTGAATTTTGTATGTATCTTATAATTATTGTTGCAGGTGATGGGTTGTATGTGATGCCCGAATTATTCCGTACCAATGCGAACTATGTCGCAGTAGTTACATTTAATTTTTATTATACTATTGTCTGGGTAAATTTTAGGAATACTTTTACGAATACATATATTTCTGGTACAACGTGCATTTTGTTGCAGACTGAAAATATTTTCAGTTAGGTATAATGTCTATAAATTGGTTGGAAAGTAATTTTTAATTGACTATAAAATGTTTTGTGTGATTTTATACTAGGAAACATGCGAGTCCGCGCGGGTCAGTACCATCGTCCTGCTCATTCTAACCACGAAGCAATCATTCGTTTCGGTTAATAGGGCGGGAAAGCCCAATACACATTGAGACATCGACCTCATATCTCAAGATACAAGACGAGACTCACGACATGATTTCTATAAGATCCAGTAGCTACTTGACATCGGATTGGCCGTGACCTAGTTATCTTATAAAGAACAAAAGAAATCCACGCGAAATTATTATTTTTGTCCAACCATATAAACGCGCATACAAATTTAATAAACAATTGGCCAAAGTCCACACGATTCTACCTTGACTATGACTTGTCATAAAGAATTTTCGGAAATTATTCACTGCTAGGTTTTATAAGCCTGTATAATATATAATCCATATAGCATTTAAATATCTCCATCGTGACATAAGCAGAGTAATTAAATGATTTAAGTATAACGCATATTCGGTAGGTATATATGTAACAAGTTATCTTGATAAATTGATAAGAGTGAAAGCAGAAAAAAGTAATCAACTCTTTTAATTTTATTACGAAGTGAAAAAAAAAAACTTAAATGAAATTAAAATTCGTTATTGTCCAATTAATATAAACGAAGTTAACGGAGAGTTTACATTAAAATAATCTCACCTAACAGCACACGTGCGACACGAATGAGTTATCAAAGCAACTGCTAATGTTTTCATTCATCACCTGATAGCAAAATGTAAACATTGAATATGTACAAAACTGCAGTGAGCGAACGCGTTAGAAAGGGACGCATGCGTTTCCTGATTAGCGTAAAAGAGACGGTTGGATTAGAGCTGCCCCAAATTCGCGGTTCGCGGTTTGGTGAGTCTAGAGGCGAGTAGCGAAAGAGGGTTTGCGTCCGTCTCACATCGCTACCGAGTTGTGACTATGTTATTCTGAATGCTCTGCTCTTGCTGTTTCCCAAACAGGGTTATTCTTGGAGACAATTATTATTGTACGTTTAACATTCTTTTGTTATTTTGAAGTACAAATAATTGAACAAACGTAATGTTCTTAAAATATAAATACATATTCTAATTGTATGTACTGGGATTGGGATTCGAATAACAGTTACGATCGTGAAGTCCATACGCGCTTTTTTTTTCCACGATTTGTACGTAAATCGTTTTTCGAGTTTTTGATGTGAAACATCTATAGCCGCACGTAAAGCTGATTTCTGGCGTGGCGACGCATGCCGTGGCGACGCGTCGCCACGCTATATGATGGTATATATATAGTCTATATGCAGTAGTGTGTACGGTGTGGTGACGCGTCGCCATGCGCAATCGACTGTGCGATTCTCTTTGTGTTTTACTTGAAAACAAATAATATTTTCGTAATATTTTATTTTATCATTATGACATATTTAGTTCCTATCACAATCTGTTCTTTTCTGCATATTACTTTTACAAAACAATGTCGATGTTTCACATCTGCCAGGCGTCCCGTGACGGCTCCCTTTTTTTTTGTCATTAAGCTATTTTCGAAGATTCGATTATTAAAATTTTTAAAGCAGTATTAATTATATACTCGTGAAATATTATATACTTCGGTCCATTGAAATTTCACTAAATACACACATATTACATACTACTTCCTATCACACTCAAACTAAATCTCATTTAGTTTTATTATCACGTGGTTCAATTTTACAAAGTACTTACCGTTTAAATGGCAAAGTGATCACTGAAAATTTAACGACTTCTTAAAAAAAAAAACATATTAACTTATTTATGCAGAATTGACCTCCGGGCATCAGCTGACGTAAAAGAAAGACCCAATGATCTATATAAGTTATGTATACAAACGGCTGGAATGTATAGCAACGGTGTACGTACTACGTCGTGACGTCACGCCATTCAAGAACCGGTACAGTGAAAACTTCAATGAACACACACACCCACCTATTACAGTTTACCTGCATAATCGAATTCACAACGCTGGAATGTTAATGTTAGTTTATATCTTTTAATAGAAACGTGTTATATCACTGTAAATATCGATAATTTATTTTTTTAATTCGATTCTATTAACTGTCCTGTTCTAATATGGGTAGCGGCATTCACATTGTGATGATGTATCATATGGTCCACTGTAATCAACGCTACGAAAAATAAACATAGATTTGGATGTAATGATTTGAAATAAGTTAAATCGATTTTAATAATAATGCGTTTCGGTTTGAAGGGTGGGGCAGCCGTTGTAACTATATTGAGATCTTAGAACTCATATCTCAAGGTGGGTGACGGCATTTACGTCATAGGTGTCTATGGGCTTCGGTAACCACTTAACACCAGGTGGGCTGTGAGCTCGTCCGCCTATCTATGCAATAAAAAAAAAATAATAATAATTTCCCATAAATCTGCTGAATTTTGTTACTGTAAAGTGAAGTCGAATATATACTTATTCGAGTGTTAAGCTGTCTGAAAAATAATTTTAAATTTGTCAACAAACGTTTATGTGATCAGCTTTTAACATAATCATAAAAAAAAAACTTTATTTATAGAGTTATTTTCCTCTAACGTAGCTCTCTGGTTGTACAATTATGTATACTAGAGGTCCCACAGTAGTCGAAATTCGACTATAATTAATTGGAATTGTAAGTTTGTACACATATTATAATCACAAATTTCGCCAAGGCTACACTATAAGAAAATATTAATAAAAACAAACAATATTTAATCTATTCTCAATTTGACCACAGACGTCAAGAACGAAAGTTTGACAATAAATAGTATGCATGCGTGTGTGCGTCAAATACATGGTATGTAGTGTGTGTAATGTTTTCTTTATTGATTTAATGTATCTTTTATGCATTATTTAAAAAATATATTAGCATTGTGCACTTCATCTCTATATTCTCTATAAGTGTGGAAAATTTCAGCCGCCTCCGTCCGCGCAATTTTCGTAAAAAGGTAAGATACAAAGTTTTTGCTTCACGTATTAATATATAGATACCCTAATATATTATAGCCCATATAATTATACCCTTTAACCTAACCACAGGATCCTCAAAAATAAATTCTGGGAACACTCGAGTATATACCTTTTGTTTAAGTAGGTACCTCCTACTTGCGTTTAATATTACAAACTTTTATTACCCGACCTCTTTTCGCTAGTATCGAGAAATGTGTTTTTTTTTTTAAATTCAGTTCTCACCTCTTGTACTTCTAAAGAGGTTTTGTGAACCGTTTTGTGAAACATAAATAGTGTTGTTTTACATACAATACATCGCATAGCATTGTGTGTTCATGATTTTAGTATTCAGTAATTGTACAATTCAATGAAAACACTATCGTCTTTATTAAGAAACGAACGGTATATTTTACGTACGAATCGGAGAGTCTAAATCAAATAAAATTGTCATGTTTTTTGTTTGTATATGTTTACCGACGATGTCGTGGTTGATCCGATGTCAAACGTTTAAGTCACAGCCTAAACACTGATAGTAGGACGTCTTATGAGTCCGCACGGGTAGGTACCACCACCCTGCCTATTTCTGCCGTGAAGCAGTAATGCGTTTCGGTTTGAAGGGTGGGGCAACCGTTGCACTATACCGAGATCTTAGAAATCATATCGCAAGGTAAGTGACGGCATTTACGTTGTAGATGTCTATGGGCTCCAGTAACCACTTAACACCAGGTGGGCCGTGCGAACGTCCCTCCACTTATGCAATAAAAATTTTTAAAAAACCTGCCTTGAGACATGAGGCCGAAGTCGCAACCGAAGCGTATTCCAGCTGTTCCACCCTTGAACACCCAAACGACCTAACTAATGAAGATCGAATTCAGTGGAACATTAACCAAGCTCACCGTCTAACGTAAGGGACACAGTTTGTTATGTAAACAAAATTGTTCGTAGTCATAACATGCGGGTGCGCCCGTAAGTTTCTTTGCTTTTTACTTTTTAAGTTCAGTCGCGAATAAACGCTTCGATTAACCAGTTGTGTTATTTAATTATCTCACTTCCGACAACGCCCTGAACCATTATTGACCACTACTAAAATAACTCCTAAAATTACATAAAATATAGAAAAAAAAGGCCTTACATACATCATACAAAATTGAAGTATACCTAAGTAATATAACGAAAATACACTGAAACATTTTCTAAATCAGGGAGCTTTCGTAAAAGTAGATCTGATTTCAAGCGTGGAAGCTCCTCTGGCTTCACCGGGACTGATGGGCGAGCTGAAAAACTTTGCTAAGATGTGCTCAAGCTAGAGCAATCCCTTGCTGAATCTACCATAGGATCGGAATCGCGACCCACTGAGAAGATCCGGCGAGAATCTGTGGGCAACCCACTTCTTGATTTTGTTTAAGTTGCTCTTCTCGCAACGGTTTTAATAGGAAATATACAGCTGAGTCTATGTTAAAATCAATATATTTCACTACCAAAAAGCATATGATTGACTACTGTTCTTAATCACCCAACAAAAACCCAAACTCAAAGAAATTAAGCAATGGCCTTAAGATGAAATAGCAACTTATTATGTAGTTTTATTTCAAAAAATACTCTTCCGTAACTAAATACAATGTCGATAAGAAAAATAACATTCATTTCTCAACTTCAAAGTTGAACAAAAGCATGATTCATGAGCAGGTAGAGCAGAAACGTAAGTAACCAACACCGGCTTTATGCTTTCGTATATTTAAATAACAAATTACCTTAAAAAAATAATTAGAATAAAAAACTGCGATTTATAATGATAATAAAATGTTTAGGACGCGAATATAATGTACTTCGACTGCAAAATGAAACTTAGTTTATACATTTAGAACATTTACAAAAAAAAAATCGGTTGTCTATTACCAGACATTGTGTTATTTTTATCATTATTTCCTAAGTCTGTAGTATCTGTACCAGTTTTGTATTGAATAATTTAAAATATATTCCCCCAGCCTACCGCTAAATCTGTTGTCTTAATCTAAACTGACGCCAGTTTACCTTTCAAATATCAGGTTATATTATGTGACGGGCAAAAATAAATGATAAAAGAAAAATAGACCCGAAATAATTCTGCACACAAAATTATACCTGCTTGGAACAACTCTATAGTTCGATTAAGGAACGATAGATGTCGCTAGTGATACGGACGCATTCTGTTTTAAAAATATCGTCGTGCTTCTTCGTATCGCTCGGCCGAGGCCCGAGAGCTCTGTGATTATCACAACTCACTGACCTTGAGGCAAAAAGGAGAAACGATACTAATTCCAAGTGCGGGTTTTTTCTAACTTCGTCCATATTAATAAGGCGAAGCACGTTCTTAGAAGTTTAGTTTTATACGCAAATTGGTTTTTAGCTTTTTTATTCTCTTTATTCAAATGATATTTTATTACTATAAGGGTTTAGTTATTAATTTGAGGCATACCTGCGTTACGGATTTGTAAGTCGGATATGCCGCTACAAAACAATGTAAACTTCGACCAAATTCTACAAATAAACTAGTAAGGTAGATAAATAATATACTTCATTATTTATTACATCACGGTACATAGATTCTAAAGAAGTGTATAGTACAATCTTAATACGAAATATGACATTGATATTTATGAATGCATCCTAAAGATTTTTGCTTTGGAGCGACATTGGAATTGGACGACGACATTGGAAAGAAAAGCTTTTTATCTATATATTAATACGTGAAGCAAAAACTTTGTACCCCTTTTTACGAAAATTGCGCGGACGGAGGATTATGAAATTTCCCACACTTATTAGACTATATTATAATATAGAGAATATAGTGAAGGAGTGCAGAACGCTATTTTTTTTTTATAATGCATAAAAAATACTTTAAATCAATTAAAAAAAAATCATTATACACACCACCAACTATTTGACACACACACGCATGCATACTATTTATTTATTGTCAAAC